TGGTCATCCCCCTGGGGGGGGCAAACTTTTACTTTCTGTTTGTCTTTGTCTCTCTGGCAAACATACATACCCTACAGCAAAAATCTCTTAAAAGGAAAAAATCATGGTAATTTACCCTGTGATATCTCAGGTCTGGATTTTGATACCTTTAATCTAGTGTCTATAGTCTGGATTTCACTCATTGTATACTCATGCTTCAACTGAACACATTTCTTTGCTGCTTCTCTTGCACCTTGGCAGGCAGCTGGACTCAGAGGCAATGGTTAAGTTATCTCTAATCCTTTGGCAAAACTATAGGTGATGTAGAGTTCTTTCATTAGGAGGCATAAAATGCCCAGTTGTCTGTTTTGTGATGTTAACAGTTGTTGATTCCAGTGGTACTGTTCATAAAGACAGAAAAAAAATCCATTTCTCTCATTATTCCCTAGTTCTCAAGATGACGAGTTAATCCTCTATCACCTTCCAATGGAGACCATTTTAAATATGTTTATGAGTTTTGATAGATAGCAAATTATATTTTTTTGAAGATCAAGTTTTTTATCTTTGTTTGGTGACAGCTCTTTTAAAATGGCTCCCGAATCCTTTAGAAATGACATAGTAGCCTTTGATGACATCAATGTCTGTCAAGATGTCCCAGGCTTATTTTTCACATTTCCTGCCTCAGGCTATTTTCTCAAGAAGTCTGGGTTTCTTCCAGTGAAAACTGGTACTTTAAAAATCACAAGCTGATATGCCAGAGATCCTGGCAGTTATATATTTAAACTGGACATATCACTATAAACTCATGAATATGTATATATGCATACATGCATATATTCAACATACTCATGAGTTTATACCAGAATGTCCAATTAAATTTGTAACAGTCAAGATATTAAAACTTTTTTTTTTTTTTTTACCTATTCTGTATTCTATCTTAATCTCCTTTTCCCCCTCATACTAAGAACCTGGCCACACTGCAATCCCTTCTCCTCCATTCTCCTCTTGGGATCTTAGGCACGCAAGCACACACGCCCAGTGTGAATTTAAGCCACTGGGTCAGGGACTTGAACTGAGGTGGGCTACATGGGAGTCCAGTGACATAGACATTATGCCAACTACTGGTCTCCCCTGGTTCTTATGAAAACTGGGAATGCATCAAAATATTCCATAAATACCTATTATTCCATCCCACATTATACACACAAAGTCCCAAAATAAAACTATCAGACTAAACCAAGTGCTTTTGTATACGCTTTTGTATACTATACTTTCCCTTTTAGCTCTCAGTATTATTTGTACAAGTAATTATGCTTAATGCTCACTTCCAGACTTTCTGTCATTTCTCTAGTTGTTTTGGTTATCTAAAACTCATTTAAAAAAAATATACTCCTGAGAAATCAATTATGGAAACAGTATGTCCCAAATTTTTATATCAGATATAAAAATCTCAGCTCACATTTTTGAGCATCTTAAACACGTTACTCCTTTTTTTTTCATGTATGAAGTAAAACTGTGGAAGAATTTAATCATCATTTGATTGTTTTCTTATGTCAGTTGTTGTTTGCCTACCCAAAGGATATTTTTCTTTCTTGAAAATATTTATATCTTGAAATTTGCTGTTCTGGGTCAACATTAGGTAAAGAGTACAAGAGTACTACTTCATGTTAATTTTTT